ACGGACCTGTCCCAGTCCTTTCACAGACCAGTCCCAGCCCCTCATGGACCTGTCCCAGCCTCTTTCACGGACCTGTCCTGGCTCCTTTCATGGACCTGTCCTGGCCTCTCATGGACCTGTCCCAGCCACTTTCACAGACTTGTCCTGAACCCTTCATTTCTGTCCCAACCCCTTCATTCCTGTCCCAGCCCCTTACAGACCTGTCCCAATCCCATAACGGACGTGTCCCGACCCCTCTGGACCTGTTCCAGCCCCTCCGGACCTGACCCGAGACCCAAACCCCTTCCCATGGTGCAGCTGAGGGGATGCAGCCCCGGGGATGTGGCAGGTGAGCCCTCCCTCCCTTTGAGCACTGGCAGGAAGGTGCAAGGTGGATGTGAGAGCTGGTGAGGAGCAGGGAGATGCTGCCCTGCTCATCCCAGCACTGAAAGTCCACAAGTTAGGAACAATTTGTGTTTCATCCTCAGGGAAATTCTGGAATGTACAATTCAGGAATAATTTGTGTTCATCCTCAGTGAAATTCAGTCAGCCAGATAACCCAGCCTGCCATTGTCAGCTCTTCCTGCACGCTTTATCTGTAGCATATTCAACTTTTCCCACCCTTCCTGCACCTCTCTGGGTGGGCTCTCCTGTGATAACCCACAAATCCTGAGTTCCCCAGTCTGCTGAAAGCCACTGGATTCTTTATTGCTTGTGCACACAAACACTCCAGACGTGTCTGGCCTGCAGGTGTTGCCCTCAGGTCGGGGAAGCTTAGAGGAAACAAAAGCATCAGACGCTGTTCTAAAGAGTTTTCCAGCTGCCTTTAAAAGAAAATGGGATTTTTTTTCTCCACAATGCTCTTTCTGGCCTCTGAGAGCCCAGCGTAGGAACTAGGGCTGCTGATCAGGTGAGCCACGTGAGTTCCTGCTGTTTCCCAGCACAACCTCCTCACTCAGACCTGCACCTCCAACCCCCTTTGGCATGGAACCACTCCTCCTAAATCACCACTCGAAGCTGAATTTAAGCAAAAAAACAGGTGAAGCTATAGCAAATTGTGGGAGCAATGAGCAGTGTGTGCTGACACTGTGATCCTCAAGGTAGGGCCAGTCCCAGGCGCTGCCACCTCCCCTCAGTCCCGGTGCTGGGGTGGGGACAGGTCCAGGACAGCGCTGTCCCCTCTGGAGATGCCCTGGGCGATGCTGCTGGAGGTGACCAGGAAGGAGGAGTAGGCGAGGTCAGCGTCCTCCTTGGAGCTCTGGGAAGGACAGGAGGACACAGTCAGGGGATGGGCAGC